GCCAAATTTCCGCCGATAATTCGCGTTTTTTCGGGGTAACATACAGGACTTGCTGCCTCTCATGTTGCCTGTTAGCTTATTGAAGGCGAACTGGCGAGAATCAGCGCGATGTACCGCAACGTGCTACTAGAACTAGAACTAAAACCAATGAAATACTCAGACAGCTGCAAGAAATTATTGCTGTTCTTGTGCCTCTCACGCTGCCTACTAGTTTATTGAAGGCGAACTTGGCGAGATTGAGCGCAACGTACCGTGAGATACTGCTAGATTTGAAACCGATGAAATTCTCAAACTGCTGCTATGAGATGCAGGAAATTCTTAGCCTTTGCAGTTTTCAAATTGACCTTCCCGTTTAAAAAAAAAAAAAAAAAAAAAACCCTTTTCCTTAGGAATTCCAAAAAGATTACTTTTTTATGGCTCTAGACACGCATAAATTGCTGCGATTTTGCAAAAAAAAAAAAAGAAAGAAAGAAAAAAAAACTTGAGATTTAGACCGCGATTATACGAAAAATACAAGACTTAAACCACTGATCTGCAAGGAAAACTCGATTTTGTCAGCTTTCCCATTAAAAACATCGATTTTGAGGCCTTCCAATTTTCATATGCGACCGATCGCAATCCTCTTACTCGCGAGTTCGAGAGGTTTTTGCGCCTTTGCTGCTGCAAGCAACTATTACTGCTCCTGAACCGCACACATTGCCTACCAGCTTATTGAAGGCGAACTGGTACTAATGAGCGCAACGTACAGTAAGATACCTACTAGAACCGAAATCAATGAAACGCACAGACTGCTGCAAACAATAGCAGCATGATCCAGAGCCATAGAGGAGAGAAAACCTGAAAAACCGATGGCCGGAAAAGGAAAATCATTTCCAGGCGGAGCGCGAAAGCTGGTTGGCGCGATGGGAGTTGACTCGGATCAGAGTCAGAGGTCACATCCGGCCCCAGGATAGAGCAGGAGCAAGAGCATGTCGAACCAAGCTCCACATCTGCGGGTCGATTATTGAAATTGATAGACAAAGCTATAGACAAAGAAGACAAAAGGGATTTGGAGGGATCCTATTGGTGGAAGCGGGTGGTTGCAATGGACAAAGGACGTGGGTGATAGACTAACTAACGGCAACCCACGAGAGACCCGAAAATTAGTCCATCATTTTCTTCCTTAGTCTATGTGAACCACCCATTTCAACCAATAGGATCGCTCTATACTCATCAAGAAAAGGAAAATCATTTCCAGGCGGAGCGCGAAAGCTGGTTGGCGCGATGGGAGTTGACTCGGATCAGAGTCAGAGGTCACATCCGGCCTCAGGACAGAGCAAGAGCAAGAGCAAGAGCATGTCGAACCGAGCTCCACATCTGGCGCTCCGAGTCCGAAGCCGCGCTCTCGGGTCTCCACTGTGTAGCGAAATTAATTGAATCCCAATCAATTAACGATCAAAATAGTATCCCGTATTGGCGAGGGAGCCGGGGGGGGGGGGNGGGGGGGGGGGTCCCCGGCCGTACCCGTATCTGCTCCTCCCGAGCCAGGCGCAAGCGTTGAGACTCCGTTGGAATGTCGCGGCTTCCCGCCGTCCCGTTGCCACTTGGACACTTTACTAGACATTATTTTATAATCTCTGTGTAGAAAAATAAAATGGCGACGAAAATGGTTAAACGTCGCATGGCGCTTGTGATACTTTGGCCGGAAGGTGATGAACTCCGTCTTTGAAGTTCCAACTTCATCGCTTCGAAAGCGTACCCCGTACCCGCGGCATCGCCTGAAAATCGATTTGTACCGCGTATATACTCATTAAGGAGATTTTCCACTCGAGAGAGTGATTTTAGATCGAATATGATACTTTTTTTAAATTGATCGATGCTGAGTCCTCCCTCCCATTGCGATTGTCCAAATTCAGATCACATGCTCTAGAAAGTTATAAGTCTAGGTTACCGATGTCACTCGTCCAGGTAGCTTTGTTCCCAACAGGTGTATTTACCTCCACCTGTGCGCGTAGCACATACGCTTGGGAACAGAGAGGAAGCGGAAAAGCTATTCCATGATTGTGATTATTCATTTTCCGACGTTGGAGAAAAAACAGCCTTCAAAAGAATGCGTATGCAACCCCACGACATGCGTGATCGAATATGATATTTTTTTAAATTGATCGATGCTCAGTTCTCCCACCCATCGCGGATATTTTTAAGCGTCGCATGGCGCTTGTGGTACTTCAGCCGGAAGGCGACGAGTTAAGCCCGCGTGTGGCGCTCGGTGGCTGTGCACACATCGACACCGACATCGGCTACAGGGTACGAGTACGAGTACCCGATGCGGAGTCCAAGTGGCGGAACCCGAACCCGGTTCTCCATACTTGGGCAAGGAGACACGGTCCAGGTTGGGTTCGGGTCCCGGTCGAGAGCCAAGAGCAAGGGCCTCGTCCCGTGTCCAGAGAGCGAGACCAGGAGAGTCGGATCACTCCGATCGTGATCCGTGGAATAACCTCTTTTCGCTTCGCCGCGCCACCGCCTCCGGCCTCACCGTCGCACACTGCCGTACACGGAAAAAAATCATTTTAGCATTAGATTTAGCATTTAAATTGTTAAAAAAAAGCCCGTCAAGTTTCAAATGCTGATTTTACAATACAAAAAATGCTAACACAACATTTGAATTCGTTCGTTTTACAGTGGGTGTAGTTAAGTTAGCATTTCTGCAATTGTACAGTCTCCAACAAATAGAAACAGAGGTAGCCCACTCGATGCCGCAAAAGCGCGACTACAGGTCTAGCTGTTTCATCGTTAAAATAGCGCCTCACAACGCTCGATTACGCAACCCGTGCGACAGCCGAGAGACTTGAACGCAGGAGTAGAAAAACTAACCGATCATCCAGCCATGGGAATATCTGGTTTTGAGTGCTTCTGTGGAGTAAAAATTCAAAACCTGGTAAACGCAACAAGGTGTTGCTATGATTGTGCTCACTATTTCTCTCATTTAACAGAAAAAATATGGTTTGAGAATGACACTCTTGTCATGAAAATGAAAACGGAGTTTTCATTTCATTTTCAGCGCCATCTAGCTGCTTTCAACGATGATGGGCTGCGACCAACACATAATGATGCCGACATTCTGCCGTACTAAGGAAAAACGCCGTATGTAGCCTTCAGATGTCGCCAAAATTCGTTCGGTGGAAACCGAATTTACTGATGAAATTGTTAATATTTTTCTCCAAAATTTTCAGACAATTTGATACGCAATTTAAACTAAAATTTTGAAAATCACAAAGTTAAATGTGCTTGAATGTCGTCAGAAATACCCGTTTCATCAAGGGAAATTTGGCAACTCTCGAATGTTCATACGGCGTTCTTCCTTAGCACGGCAACATTAAGAGACCACGTATCTCGATTACTCGCGAAAATTTCCTATCACATTCCAAATGACCAAAAATCAGTACTTTTACGGTACATTTTCAGTACATTCCCGAGAAATTCAGTACCTCCTCAACAGAGAAATTCAGTACTTCTCTAGTACCTCCAATTGACGAAATTCGAAAATTTTCAAAAATTAGAATTTCTCGCTCAAATTGCGACAAAATTGACAAAAAATTAAAAAATCCCAGACCTTCTTGCGGAATTTCCGCACTTTTTCAGTATTTCCGGACCGCCCTTGGAAAATCAGTACTGTTTCCGGACTTGCAGACACCCTGATTACCCAAACTGAACATAAACCACCCATCTAGATGATATCAGTGCAGGCTCGGAGGAAATGACCCCGCAAAAACACCGTCGCGTCATGTCTCGCCGTGTCACTCTTCGGAGAGCAGCCCCCCCCCCCCCCCCCCCCNTGACCACCGCCAAATCAAGGAGCTGAGCCCCGTGTAGTTGTTGGCCCGTTATTTGTCATTATTCCGAAGTGACGAGCCAAAAACATCGGAATTCGCGGGACGGCGGGAGGGGGGACTCCTCTCCCTCGTTTTTTTTCCTCTCGCGAATCGGCCAAAGGATGGGAGCACACGTTTCACGTAGCGTCGATGCCCCCCCCCCTTCCCCTCATTGTCCTGGAGCATGTTTCCGTGACTGACAACATTCCGCACTCCGTTAGTTCGGATTTATAGTCCGTAATAGTCTGATGATGGGTGTACTCCGGAGTTTCCTTTACGATTTGTTTCTTACCACGCGGAAGTAGCTACGTTTTAGCCGGTCGTCAAGGGCACGAAAATTACGCCCGAACTTACGTGGGGCGCCAACTCTAGGGGCCTCGCAGCGCCTCCCCTTTCTCTTGTGTAAATTTATTTTATGAAAATTGTTCTAAGGGGAACTATACTGCCGTGCAAAGGAAAAATGCCGTATGAAAATTCGAGACTTGCCAATTTTCTCCGTGTACAACTAATTTTTTTGAGGAGAGTCATGCTTATTTTTCCCTAAAATGTTCAAATATTTTACATTAAATTGCGTTCAAAATCGTCTAAAAATTTCGAAAATGAATACTCACAATTTTCTCGGTAAATTCGGTTTTTAGTGAAGGAAATTTGGCAACGTCTGAAGGCTTATACGGCATTTTTCTTTAGCACGACAGTATACTACCGTGCTATGGGAAAATCCCCTTTGAGCATTCGAATGTTGCCAAGTTTCCTCTCAGAGAATATTTCTTTTCGAGGAAAGTTGTGGATACTTTTCCTTGAAACTTTCAAACTTTTCAGACCAGATGACGAGCGAAATTCTCCAAAAAATTGTAAGAAAAGTATTTACAAATTCTTCCGAAAATTTCCGAAATTTCAAAAGAAGATTGGCGACGTTTGAAGGCTCCTACATCGTTCTTCTTTAGCACGGCAGTATAGCTCATGTAGCACAGGTTGCAACAAAATGAAATTAAAAGAGTAAGATTATTGCTTTTATGTCGGGGTGGTGTAAATGATGTCCATTCACTGATATAAAATATTATTCTGCCACCTCCATGGGCTCCATTACCTATACTGAACAGATGTTACGCCAACTTTTTGACCTAATTTCATGTTTTTCTTTTGTTACAGATCGGACATTTTGGCTGTGAGCAACGTTTTGCAGAGTAAAAGTCTTTACAACATCAAAATGGTACGTAGTTTTTTAGATGGATAGCTATGAGGAGAACGTTGATAAGTTCTCCTCGTAGGTTTTACTACTATTCACAGTGGTCTTGTAGCAAAAAGAAATGCGCCAAAAATGTACCCAAAAACGGTTTATAGGGGGTGAGTCTATGGGAAGTGTGGACTTGAAATCGCGAAAAACGAAAATCTTGGCTGATTCTTATTTCGAGATATCGCAATTTGAAATTTTCGTGGTGAGTGCAAGTTTTCTACTGATTTTGAGCAGCTTTTTCATGAATTTGTCCATTGAAACGGTGTTAATCGGTTCACGTTTTTATTTGTCCATTGAATCGGTGTTAATCGATTCACGTCGTTCGAATCACGTCAATCGAACACGTACCCTTTCGTTACACGCAGACAAGCTACCATAATCTTTTTTTAACTTAACAATTCGCTTTCTGCTGCAAGTGTTGTTACGAATATGCTGTGCGTGCTGATTTCAGATCATTACGTATTTGACTCTCTGAAGGCGTTTTATGTGCGAAAGCAATTCGCCTTCAGCTGCGTCGGCAGCAATTGTTGTTGCGAATATGTTGTGCGTACTGATTTTAGGTCACCACATACTCGACTCTCTGAAGGCGTTTTATGTGCGCAAGTAGCGCATTCTGTCAGAGAACGAACGAAGTATAGGGATGGAGCGATTCATTCAATCTCACATGTTGTTCACCAACAGAATGCTCTTCCGCACATTAAACACCTTCAGGGAGTCAAGTATAATGAGCTGAGATTAGCTCGCACAGCAGATCAGGAGCAACAATTGCTGCGGACGCAGCTGAAGGGCGTCAACACTACCAGCAAATTTTCACGGAACTTTGCGCGAAAGTTAAGTTCCGTAAACCTATCTCCGTGTGGACAAGGCCCTCCATTTATAAGAAATGAACGAAAAAATTATGAAAGAACAAACATAAATGCGGTTTAATAATTTTGACTTCCGCCGCCGCTCCGCGCTGACCGCTCTGTGTTTTGCGCAATGCGTGAAGTATTTCTACAGTCTTGTAGGTGCTATGTGTTTCACATCGACCGCTGCTGACCGCACTGTTTTTGACGCAATGCGTGAAGTATTCCTACAGTCTTGTAGGCGCTTTGCGTTTCACATCGAGCGGTGCTGAACGTACTGTGTTTGACGCAATGCGAAATTACTGTACTCTCAGGGAATGAGAGAATTTGTCGCCTTTACTCGTTTGTATTTTTTTTTTTTTTTAATCCGATTTGCTTCATACCTTCACTTAAAAAATCGCAAAATTTGCCGCCCCCTAAATTTACCGCCATGGGCCGCGGCCCATGTGGCCACCCCCTTAATCCGGCCCTGCAGGCCGGATGCGCGGAAATGCATATTGCTGCAGACGCAGCAGAAGAAAAATTGTTCAAGTAAAAAAAAAGAGTTTGATAGGTAGTCTACATTTAACGAGAGGATATATATATTCGATCGACATGAATCGAACGAAAAATAAAAACGTGAACCAATTAACACCGATTCATTAGACAAATAAATAAAAAAGCTGATCAAAATCAGTAGAAAACTTGTGTTAACTATGAAAATTTTAAATTACGATATCTCAAAATTGGACTCCACCAAGATTTTGATCTTTCTCGATTTTAAGTCCACATGTACTATCGCCGAATTTAGTTTCACGCAGAGTCTCTGGTGACTATTTAGCGACGGCGCGGCGCGGCGCGTTGCCTGATAACGCTCTCATGAAGACGCACTGGTTCCTCTGTGAGCGCGTAGTCACTAACACAGACGCACATGAAACACACACAGACATTTCCACTCATTCACCGTGAGAATTCACGTTTTTGGCTCTTTGGAATGTAAACAAAGATTCGTAATGACGTATCGCGCATCAATTCCAATTCTCACTTGCCTCTTGTTCTTGTGACTAGAGCAAGGAAGAAAGGGCCTCATTCCAAATTGTCCGTTTCAACCTTGGCCTGATCTTCGAAATATTTTCAAAGTTGATAGAGGATCTCCTCCCGAGTCTAAAACACTGACGCATTTTGAAATCGGACGATCACGGAGGGAGGGGGAGGGGAGTCATAAAGTAAAAAAATTAAACTCGCATATCTCGCTAACGCTTTGTCGTAGAAAGTTGATATTGGTCTCAAAATGTAGAGAAAACCACCAGCTTTCAGGCGATAATTACAAAATTGGTCCATTCTGGAAATTTCATCCATTGTTGTTGAAGTTCAAATGTTCAGTTTTTCACCTTTTTAGCTGCGACGTTGAAGGAATCGCACAAAAAGTAATCTAACTATTTTTTGATGAAAGTAGACCGTTTAAGCTTTAAAACAAGCACAAGTTCATCCTGGGGGAAACAAGTTGGAGGAGAGATATGATTTTTCAAAGTGGATGTGGTACACTTGGACCTGGTTTGTTCCGAGTCCCAAGATCACCAAATGCCCCCAAACCAATCACGAATTGCAAGGTTGTGCATTTTTATACCCCATTATAGCTAATTCCCGAAGAAAATTATTAAAAAAGAACAAAATATCGAGACATATGAATGTTACAAGACTAGCCTCAGCTGACTCTCGCTGCATCAACAAAATTTCATGCTTCTTTTTCAAATCGTTTCTGTAGGATGGACTTAAATTTAAAAAGCTCAAATGGTTTTTATTAGCAATTCCTCTTTTTTCCTCTTATTTCTACCCAGCGAACCGTTGAAGGTAAACATACATTGTTTTATGATCGAAAACTTTGATTTCCCTGTATCCATTGCATATTACTCATCTATCCTGATCTTGTCATTTTTGACGAATGATTTAATCTAGGAGTGACCGATAAAGGTATCGCCCCAGCTAAAAATTGAAAATTTGAACTACGGCAACTTGACAGCAATGGATGACATTTTCGAAATGGACCAATTTTGTCATCATTGTCTGAAAGGTGGTGGTTTCCTCTATATTTGGAGACTAAGATCATCGCTTTACGACAAACCGTTCACGAGATATGCGAGTCGAAATATTTATCTTTGAACCCTTTTCTCTCTATCCGTACTTGTTTGATTTCAAAAATCGTCGGTGTTTTGGACTCGGAAAGTGATCCTCTATTGCGAAAAATTAAAAGCGCGATGGCTGAGTCGTGAGGCGTGAATTCGCAATATGTTCTTCTCTAGGCTGTTAGTCAGATCCGCGAGAAAAGTTAAAAAGCGAGGCCGGATTACGTTTTTCTTACCTTCGACTGCGTTGCTCACGTAGCCTTTAAAGAACCACTACAAGTAAGACAAACGAAACCAACACAATAAGGAAATGGAGCAAGGGGAAGGACTCGCGTTGATCACGGCGCAGAGATACGACTATTCGTGCTTGATGGATGTCCGTGTTGCATCTGCAAAATTGAAGGCGCAATGGCACGGGGCATGAACTCGCAATGCTCCGCTATGTGCTGCCAATGAGGTGTCTCTCAGATTCAGGGAGGAAAGTTGAAAAAGAGGCCCAAATAGGTCCCTCCTTTCTTCGACTGTGTTGATTTGATACTCGATTCTTTTTTGGAATGATTTGCAGACCAACATCTAAAGCTCGCGTGAACCAGCCCCATCCAATCTGCGGGGCAGGTTTTGTTAGGAAGCCTCACAATTTGACCCGGCTTCAGCATTTAAGGGTTAATAAAAATATCATTAAAAAGACTGCACCTTCCTCGCAAAAAGTCAGTATTCAACATTGGATCCAAAATAGGCCATTCAGTCTGTGAATTTCAATAAAATTTGGTTAGGCTATCTCACAAAGTTAGGCTTCAATTGTTCGGTCACGTCTGAAAATATTCTCATTTCCAACAAAATTATTGCTGAATGGATCTTCCTGTCGTATATACCTGATGCATTTAATTGATTTGTTCCTATCTCTTTTTTACTTGCCTTACTGAACACCTTGTCCTTTGCTAGACTCAACAATCTTTTTCCCTCTCTCTCTCCTTCAAAATTTCACCTTGTACTAACTAGATTGCATGTTTATACAATGAAAATACAAAGAAAATACAAATGCATGAAAATACAAAGGTCGATTCGGGGTCAGAAGCAAAAAATAAGATATAGTAGCTCAATTATAGCTATCTGAATAAAATGATTTTCTGTCCTTCCGGACTCAAAACAACGGATCAGTTTTATATAGGATTCATGGGTGGATAATGTCATTTTGACCGGAAAACTCTCATCAGAAAAAGGGAGACATGTTTTTTGGACATGCGGTATGCAATACATGTCTGGCTAGTGTCTATGTATCCTAGGCCCCTAAATTCAAGAATTACTTCGGTTTATCTCGATCATACATCAATTTCCAGAAAATCAAATTTTCCTTGGAAAATTCATTTTTAAATAATCCCAATTTGCCTGGAAAATGGCATAGACAGGGACAAACCGAGGTCATACTTGGACCCAGGGCTGAATATTACACGAGAATTCGCTAATGAAGCATTCATTTTTTTTTTCGGTGTATACTTGTGTAATCTTTCATATTCGACAGCGGACCAGCTTTGCGTCATTTTCAAACTTCCTGCGCGAAGAAGTATATCCTGAATTAAGAAGTCCTTTGGAACAAGGGTGTGTACTCAAAAAGGTAGTTCCGCGGAAATCGCATTTGAAAGTTCAGAAGTGCATAGCGTTGGTACTAGCCAATATCTTCGCACGAAATTTAATTAGTTTGAAAGAACAAGTCTTTGAGAGTATACTTGCAAAAACGGAACATTGTGACTACATTCCCCTATGATCCCTACAAGATAACGTGGATCGTTGTGTAAAAAGGGTGGGGGGGGGGCACGACTTTACACTATGTATATTTCCTGAAACTGGGAAGAATCCAGTTTCAGAAAACGCGTTCTCCCGAAAAAGGGCGGATGCGCGCATACGCCTTTGTCCCAAAGAACTCCATGTAACCTACCGGCACGGCGCGGCGGTGTCTAGAAGAAAAAAATCAGTTGCACCTCATGAAATAGCTCTACTTTCGAGTGATCGCGGTGTTGCGCTGTCTATTATGGGTTTGCACCTATAGATGCTTGTCTGAAGGATATTTTCTTGAAAAAGTAGCAGATTTGTCAATTGTTCATGTGCCTCCGTTTTCCTCGTCGGCATGAGATGAGATAGGTCCAGTCAGCACCCGATATCTCCGAAACGCGCTTCGCCGCGCTGCGCCTCGTCGCACAGTTTACATTTGATTTGGAGCGGCCTATGCGTGAAACTAAATTCGGCGATAGTACCATATACTCACTCCCTGCAAACCGTTTTCGGGTACATTTTTGGCGCATTTTTATTTGCTTCAAGACCACTGTGTAATACACATCATTGAAAACTACTGAATCTCATCAAATTGATGTGATCCACATCTTAATTGTTATGCCAAAAGCTGACACCTATATAATCTTTTCGTGTAAGGACGTCAAAAATTTGACCACCACTACAGCAATAACAAAACAAATTCTCGCGCGTTTAGTGATACACGCTTGTGATTGGCTAAAACTCTCTATCTCTTTTGGCGCCAAAACTTTTAAAAATTACCCGCGCTTTTCCACGTGCGCAAGCAGAATGCCTCCCCACTCTTGATGATGATCGTCACGATATTGTTCTTCTGTCATTCTCAGAGAAACAGAAATTTCTAGACTTAGATAATAGAGATAATAACCTAGGAAAATTGCTGGAAAAGCAACAGATAACGGAGCAAATGAATTTTTTGATACGTATAAAAACGGACGAAATTGACGAATTTTATGGTGCAAGCGTCTATTTTCACCATCTCTCGCTAACGTATCGTAAGTATAAAGGAGTTTTAGATGATTTTTAAATTAAATGACACTTGTTACTTTTCAAATTACAGGAGGCTGTCAATGATCCTTTGGCGGATCCGGCCCAACTTAAGAAGGCGCTTGAGTGGGAGTTAAGTCTTGACAATCGAGACCTTCGCTCTCATGCATGGTACCATGGAGCTATTCCTCGTACCAGAGCTGAAGAGATAGTGTCGGATAATGATGGGGATTTCCTCGTCAGAGACTGTGCATCACAGCCGGGGAACTATGTGCTAAGTTGCAGAAGTCGCGGCCAAAGTCTTCACTTTGTAATAAATAAGGTATTTATTCTTTTTAAAAATGCTCTTGGAGAATTAATTACTTATCACAAAACATTATGGTGATCAAGAGGATCCTTGATTAGAATCCTGGCTCATGACTTCTAGGAGCGGTACTATATAAAGTTAAAACAAGCAGTGAACTCCAACACAATGTGTTGATAAGGCGCGTCATTAACTCGCACATATCAACCCCTTAAGTTTTCATTTACAGAGATTTCAAAAAAGGCAAGCAGCACAACAAGAGAATTCACGATCCAACACTGCAAGGTCAACAACGCACCTTCACGAGACCGTGTATTGTGAATCTAGAAAGCTATTCGAACAAATTTAAGTTTTTTGATCTGCCTCAAGCAAAATCTTATCAGATTCTTGAAGAAAAGTGCTACGGAAAAATTTAAGCGAAGAAAGGAAAAATTCTGTCGAACTCCTAGAAGATAAAGTCGATTTAAAGGTATTTTGGGGCTAAAATACCCAAATTACCGGTATTATAAATACCGTTATATTATTGAAAAGAAATTGACTCGATATAAATGCAATTGTATTAAATATGTCTTGATTTTGTTATTTTAAACGTCTTTTCATGCAAAGAAGCTCAACCATGTCCATGCTTTATTCATTCATGAATTGAAAGTGAGCAATCCACATCCCGAAAATCTACCGATTTGCCGTAAAAAATCGCAGAAACTTGATAAACCAGGTCGATGTACCCACTCTTTGAATTAACTTCACACAACAGTATGATTAGTTCTTTTCTAGATTTTGAGAAAAGAATCACGTCGGGGTCACCACTTTGTTGAGCTCAGAAAAAAGGTCAACAATATTAGGTATAG